GATGCCCAAGGCTGCCCAGGTGGCTAAGGGACTGCCAGTGCTGCATTCGCCACACCCGCTGCAGGATGGGGTTAAGGCCATGTAACCCAAGCCAGCCATTTGGCCATCCCAAAGGGTGGTGGAGCACCACCGGTCCCCAGAACACTGACGTATTTCCCAGTCCCCGCAACCTCAGTCACCAGCCAAACAACCCAGGTCTCCGGCATCACGCTCACGATCTCCTTCTACGAGGCATGGGACAGTGGAATCGAGGCATCGGTCTCCGTATTCTGGTACTGACCAGGATCTCACCAGAGATCTCCCTGGTGCAGGTCCCTATTGCCTAGACGAGCTCTGAGGCATCGGTTCCCACCGGTGTGGGACCGCTCACCATCATGGCACCGGTCTCCATTGTCCCGGTACTGCTTTGTGGAAAGGCACCATTTCCCACTCCACCCTGGTTCCCGGAAGGGAACTGGTTTGCATTGGAACCGGAGTTCAGCCCTTCGCCAAGGAAGCATAAATCTCCAGCGGTGCTGGAGACTGGCAAGGCACTTGCGGTGGCTGCATGGCAGCAGGGCCAGTGGCCTGCTCAATGGCCTTGTTGGAGCCCTTGGAGTGGATATGCCTGTGATGCTGTTACCGTACTCCCACCACTCCTCCCTGTTTGGACAAACCACCGCTGGCACCAGGCTCAGAGCCTGGTGCGGAATCTGACACGGGGGTAGCACAACAGGTGCCGACGCCTAGGGAGCCATCCCCAGAAGCATGGAGCAGTTGATAGCTAAGTTAGGTCAGACTTTTGCCTAGAGGCAAATCATTAGGTGTACATCAAGCCTCAAAGAGGGCATCAAACTTGTATGCATAACCATCAGACCTTTTTTTCACAACAGTGTCTGCAGGAGCGCCATATCTGAGAGAGAAGTTCTTTGGATCACATTAGCTGATCATATTTTTGTTTTTACCTTTCATTTGTTTGATGGTCATGTTGTATTTGTTTTAGGACTGTTTTTTTTTTTTTTTTTTTATAGTGTAAAAATGTAGTTTTAATCTGGTGTTTTGTGAATTGGATAATTCAATATGTCTCAAAAGACTTCCTGCTTCTAAAAGGAGCTTCAAGTAAACTGAAAAGATGTTCTGTCTGGACACTTGTGAGTGTTACACTTGGTCTTTCTTGGTAAGTATCATGGTTTGTCTGGATGCGCTATCTAATCAAAGATGTCACTTCAGCTATCTGGTCTTGGAAGTAGAGTTTGAGAAATCACCTGGCTGTCCCTGAAAAAAGAATCAGTATTACCAATGGAGGAATCTTGTGTGAATTCTCCAGGTTTCATTCTTTGGGAGTCAAAATTTCCTTTAATGCACCATTCCAAAGAATCTTGAAAATGAAGCCAGGTTCCATAGTTGGGAACTGAATAGGTCAGAGCAGTCCTACATATGTTATAGATTCAAGAGCTGAGGGAGTGCTTCCATGAAGGAGAGCAGAGTTTCTGCTTGTGTTCAGGGTAGACACTCATATTAAGGTAGTTCCTTCCCGCAGGATGATGGGTTTTGTCCTTTGATTTATCGATTACGTGGGCTCCACTATATGGAATTTAGCATTCACTTATTTCCAGGAGTGCCTTGGACTAACATTTACTATGTAACTGTCTAATTATTTGCCACTGATTGTAATTTTTGTTTGCAAAAAAATGTGTGTTCTTTCTATATGGTTTACTGATGCCAGTTTAGACAACAGTTCCAAGAGGTGCAACTAGATTAAGAAAATTTCATTTACCTAATGTATAGGCAACTGTCAATCTATTGGATCAAGGTGTACACATAAAAGGTCTAGTCAGATGCCTGATGAATCCACTTATGGCTGACAAGCCAAGTTGGAGAGCGACACAGCTTGTTGCAAGTTTCACAGATCCATATGTTGTCTGGGTTGGCATTCAGGATTACAGCAAGCTTTCTTCTTTCTCCCTTTGCTTCCATCTTCTGGATCAAAGATGCTTCATGTTGAGCTGTACCCAGTTCCAGATGTTTCCTCCAGATGGAAGGGGATTCTGCACACTCCTCCAAGCGTTCTACATTGATATTGAATGATTTCGTATCATTTTTGTACATATCGTGGTACCACCATAAAGGGCGATCCCACTTTCTAGAACTGTCTTGAACCTCGCTGTACAAAATATTCTTGGGGATATGGTCTTCTCCCATTCTCCTGACATGACCAAGCCATCACAACCTCCTATTCTTGATAGTAGTTTCTAGGTGTGTCAATCCTGTGTACTCCTGCACTCTGTATTTGGTATTTTATCTTCCCACTTTATTTCCAGAGTCTTACACAGGCATCTCATGTGAAAGCTGTTCAGGCTACTGATGTGCCTAGCATATGTAGTCCATGTTTCTGAACCATAGTCGGGATAACAGCAGTCAAGTCTTATAGATTCACATCTTCACCTTAATTTGCTGTTGTTCCATTCTATATTAGCCTGAAATTTTAAGCTGCTTTTCCAATTGTTAGTCAGTTCAGTCTGAAGGTCAAGATTTGTGCTGATCATAGACTCCAACTAGCAAAAGCTGTTGACAGTGCCAAGAGATTTACCCTTCAGGGTAATAATAGCAGGCATTGGTTCTTCCACCTGTGGTACATGATCACAGTCTTCTTGAAACTGATGGTCAACCTGAAGTTCTTGCATGACGCAAAAAATCAAGATCTTCTAATGTATAAATAAATAATGGGTGACAGGGGATGGATCACTTGATGATTACCTGTTCTGTTCATTCCATCTGAAGCACCTGGCATTGGTCACTGTTGGAAGACAGGATACTGGGCTAGATTGACCTTTGGTCTGACCCAGTATGGCCGTTCTTATAACTAAGAACCTATTTATTAAATGAACTGTCGATTCGATATCTTACGTTTATATTATACACAAAAATCTACATTAAAAGAACATTAAGGTTGCCGAGTCAAGCACTCAGAAAGTTTAAGAAATGCCTGTGCAACCTTAATTCACGCACTTCTACATGTGTGCTTCGACAGACGTCATTAAAGACTGAAATCTGGCCTGCCTTCGATCACTCATTACATTTGAAAGCAATATTGCATGCTCTTCGGCCATGGTGCAAGGATGGACAAAAACACCCCAGCACACTGTGTTCTCAGACTCTCCATCGATGCATGAAGGAGTACATGTCCTGACCCTACCTGGTGCACCCTGCAGGACCACTCCAGAGACTTGTGGATTCGCAGGATTAAGTCAGCTCTGGGAACTTTTTACTGGGCATCATCCACCACGGTTACTTTGACTGACAGTCCTCAGTAGACCATACGTTTTAATTGTTTAATTACATGATCACATAGTATTATTTCTTCAGGATCCCTGCCTCATTAAGTGTACATGATGGATGTTCTCCATGAATGACCTTTAATTCAATATTTTGTTATATCATTGTTCAGTGTGTGGCCCAGTGCCTTGTTTACTGCACACTATTCTAACATTGCTCTGAAAATTGAATTACTGATTTTTCTCATGGACTTTTCTGTGGTGCTCATCACTGTAGTATCTTGAGTGCGTCTGAGATACTACGTTTTTCACAGCATCCTTGTGAGATGAGTAGGTATTATCTCAGTTTTAAAAATGGGGAACTGAGGCTCCAAGATTAAGGATAAAAGTATCCATTAGTTTTGTATGCTCATTTTGAGACACCTAAAACATGATTTTTCAGATAACTTAGCATTATATAGGTTTCAGAGTAGCAGCCGTGGTAGTCTGTATCCACAAAAAGAAAAGGAGGACTTGTGGCACCTTAGAGACTAACAAATTTATTTGAGCATAAGCTTTCGTGAGCTACAGCTCACTTCGTCGGATGCATCAGCTGTAGCTCACGAAAGCTTATGCTCAAATTTGTTAGTCTCTTAGGTGCCACAAGTCCTCCTTTTCTTTTAGCATTATATAGTATTTTGTATGTTCAAAGCACTGTCCCTGTTGACATCAGTTGCAGCTGTGAGTGCCCAGCACTTCTGCAGATCAGGCCCCAGAGTTTCAAGTCAGGCACCCAGAAAATGAGGAACAAACAATTAGTGCCATTCTGTGAAAAGGTTGATATAAGGGACTTGCCTAGCATCCATAGGAACTATGTGGCAGAGGCAGGGATAGAATCCAGTTTTCCAGGGCAACATTGATCTGCTGTAACCACGAGATCATCCTTTTTGTTCTTGCAATCCCCTGCCTCAGTCACTTCATACCCTTCCAGCTTCTACAATAAACGAAGCAGGGGTTCAGCAGACAAATCTCCCACACTGCATGACTGTCATTCATCCCCAGAGTAGATCTATCCAGTATGTTGAATAAGGCGGCATCCTGTGGGAAAAATAGCATGTGATTGTATAATTTAAGGTGATGTCATAATGCGTACCATAAGTGAGGGGGACGTGAATTAAGGTTGCACTAGCATTTCTGGAGTGAGTGCTTTATTTTGTAACCTTAATAATAATAAATCTAATATTTTTTCCTTTTTTTTTTTAATGTGTAATTTCCTAGGTTTTTGGGCTCCCTGACCAATCTCCTTTCCCTTTCGGTCTCCAGCAACTTTCTCCTGCTGGTGACTGCGGGGGCAGGTCATTGGGACTACAAGAGAGAGTGTTCAGGTGCCCAGACCCCACATGGCCTGCAGCAGCGCAGAGTTGCCCTTGGAGGGAAAGTCCTGCTTAGCTGTGATGTGACGCATGCTCATTTCAGACAGAATCTTCAAGGAGTCTAGCTGTTAAACCTTTAAGTCTCTACTGAGCATGTGTGAACTCAGATTTTTTGAAGTCTTTTAACTTGGCTATATTGGGATAGAGTTTTATGGGGACACCAAAAGACTCATTCATGTCATGCCATCTTGCTGAATTCTGCATGTGGATACTTGCAGCAGCTTATAGGTTGGGACTCCGCTTATCTTAATTTTGGAAAACCCAGTATTATAGGTTAAACACTTCCTGAATACCTGATTATTTTTACAGTGTTTGTTTTATTTTGTTTTTATAGATGGGGATACAAGTGCAACAGAAAGTGGTGATGAAGTTCCTGTGGAACTGTATACTGCTTTTCAACACACACCAACTACAATTACTCTAACTGCTACAAGGGTTACTAAGGTTAATGACAAGAAAAGGAAAAAAAGTGGGGAGAAAGAGCAGAACATTGCAAAATGTAAAAAGGTAAGTTAACTTAAACATTTAATTGCTCTTTACTTCTCATAGCTTTCATGTAATGGAATGAATTACTGGTATGTGACATTTTTAACATTTGCCTCGTGTTGCCTGAATTTAGATTAGTATGCAGGATTCATCCATGGAAAGTGATGTATCAGACCTCTTTTCCCCCCCCCCCCTTTTTTTTTTTTTTTTTTTTTTGGTTATCCAGTATTCTTTATGGTGGAATCCCTTTAGAAATGGATTAATATTAATTTTTTTAAATTTATAACACATTTGCATACAATATATACATGCTTACATGGTGTCCTGTGAGGAGTCTATTTATAAATACATTTGGACATTTTTTGCCTCGTGCTATTATCACTAGAATATTTCTCGCTCATTTTTTTTCTTCCCACTGCTGCTAATAAAGGGCAAATATTTTTATAGTGCTCTTTAGCTATTAAAATTCAGGAATGATTGATTGATGGTGTTGCCAGTTCTACCTGAGATGGCTTGGCATTCCATTCAGTTGAAGTGGCAGTTCTGTAGAAAACTGCTGCCAGAAAGTAACCTTTTCAACACAATTTAGTAAGTGAAGTGTGATTATTCCAAAATTCTTTTTGAAAATATAATTTTTAACCAAGGAAATAACAATGTGTTGTATTTAGAAAATTAAAAAAACAGCTTAAAAGTAACTGTATTGAGGAACCACTACAATAGAATTAATACACTGACATTGTGAAATATGATACCTTGATTTTCTAGATTCTTATAAAAATCAAACACTGGATACTAGCAAAATACAGAAATTAAATCATTCCATGATTTTAAGAACATGCTCTGTTTGTGATCATGTTAAAATAAAGAACTGTGACAGTCAAGCAAAAATATTAAAAGAAACTGGAGCTGGAAACCAGAATTTCAATAGTTAGACAGTGTTTTGGCGTTTGAAACAAATGTTTAAGGTCATTAATTTATTTTTTAAAACCAAATGCAGTTGTAGAAATATCTGATCAGCTGGTAAAATATCACTTGTATGACAGCTCTTAATATAAAGTGCTGATACTCAGTGGTTACCTCCTAATATAGTGTAAGGGGATGTTTGAAAAGGCAAACTTAATGGAAAATACTGTGTTTTGAGAGAGTGTTTCCATAATTTTACATGATATACAATGTACATCCATAGGCTTTCCAATGTGTGCGCCATTTAATGGGTTTACTTTGTATGCCCACAGAGCGTTCTAGGTTAATGTTGATCACTAGCACAGTGAGTGAAGCATCAAGGTGAGTTTGTAATACTGGAAAAAAGGCAAATTTCATGCCACCAAATGCCATTGGACTACTAGCTTTGAAACCTTGGATTTCATTTTATTGGCAACCTTTATATAATGTTCTCAAGAATATGAAAAATGCAAGTGGCCTTCCTTCTTTTTTTGATCTTTTAATGTCACTCTCTACCCTTCCTGTTGTTGCTTTTAATGAGAACAGTTGTATTAAGAACTTAATTACCTTTTTAAAAAAGCATAAGATCATTTTCCCTCAGAAAAACGTTGTTAATCTTTAAATACTTTTAAATGACAACTGCATTTTTTTTTTAAGGCTTTTCGCGAAGGATCTAGGAAATCTTCAAGAGTTAAGGTAAGTGTAAATATATGATAATTGTAGATAGATATGGATATTACTTCAGTTACATTCTGAACTTCCTGCTAACTAATCTTATTTTTGTTTATATGAGAACATGTGTTTGTATACTTAGACTATCGTCTTATATATTGGTGTTTATATTTATCCAGAATACACCTGAATAACATGTACAGGTGTTAAAATACCTTTCTAGTAGAATAATTGTTTTCTGGTGGTGGTTAAATAAAGAATATAAGAAAATGACCAATTTGTCTTTCAATTGGCACTGACTCTGCAAGCTCAGGCAATGCTGTTTATCTAGAATTTCTTCCCTTTGAGAAAACATGAGATTTCAAAAAGATGGATGAGAATTTAGAAGAGGCAGCCTGAGGAAGAGTTTCCCATGTCTCTAGCAAGTCAAACAATGATCTGGGATGTCAGCTGTGAGATTGTTTTGACAGTTTTATCTTAAAACCTAATTGGTCTTAGAGGACTTCAAAAGATCCATGTTGTGTAAATTAGAACTACTGAATTCTTCCACTGTTCTGTTCTTTAGTTATTTGATCCTAACTATTCCTCCTGTTCAGTATAAACATACAAAAAAGCAGCACAGCCAGCCTAAAAATCATTTGTCTGAAAGTGTTCTTCTTACTATTGTGACAAGTAATATTGCAAATGAATAAAATTGGAAAAACAGTTTTACTGATGGTAAGTTTCACTTCCTAGTTCTATGCACCGTGTTATGATATCACTCTTATTTGTTTCTTAGAAGGAGCTCGCATGCATCATCTGTTAACACCTGTGTTAAGCAGCATCATAGATAAACTCAACTACTGGGAATTCAGATACTACTGATTTATTAGCTTCTATCAGTTGCTGTGCTAGGTCAGGTAGAAGAGAGGAGCAACAGCACATGGAACAACAAGGACCCCTGAGACCGTTTTGGGAGAAGGAAAAAACCTTTCATGTAGGGATGGTGAGGGAGGGGCAGAAAACACCTGTCATCTCAGGCCCCTCTATGGAGTTGTGGTGTGGAGGTGGAGCGTGGCTCTGGGACTGTAATGATCCTGAGTCATCTGTGGTTCCACTGTGGAGCCAAGCAAGGAAGGACCACAGGATCTGGGCAGGAAAGGCAGAGCTAGGACTAAGAGGGAAGGGGGCAGGTGGGAACTCTCTGCCTTTGACCCCTTTTCATAAGAGTTTAAAATGAACGGGGAATTAACTTCCAACACCTGCCCCCTTGAGGCCAGGAGGCAACAGCAAGAGTTTCCTACATTCTCAGTCTATCTCCTCTAGAAGCCAGCCACAAGCTTGGGCCAGGAACTTACTTCTAGATGTTTTTCCATGAGACACGGGTACAGCGGGGGTGGGTTCATTGCTCTGATTCACATTTCCTGACACACCCTGCTCTGCACATGCACTCTGGCTTGTTTGTGTTGGTCACACAACTTATTAACTTATGAGCTTATAACTTATTAAAGGTTATGCTATTAAAAATCACGTATCTTGTTTGTAATTTCTGGTTATTGTGATTTGTAGGGTTCAGCTCCAGAGATTGATCCTTCTGACAGTTCAAACTTTGGATGGGAAACTAAAATCAAGGCATGGATGGATCGTTACGAAGAAGCAAATAATAACCAGTACAGCGAGGGTGTTCAGAGAGAGGCACAAAGAATAGCTCTGAGACTAGGCAATGGAAATGACAAAAAAGAAGTTAGCACCAGCAATCTGATCTTCAAACCTCCCGTAGAGGTAAATAAGTGAAGACGGAACTGTGTAACAAGGGAAAGAAATGCATAACTCATTAAAGTAGCACTAAAATTTGTATGCTTTTATGAGATACTGTTCCCAGTGTCGTAGTCATTCTTTTCTTCTTTAGGTTTTTTTTTAATCTCTAGCTCATTCTACCAATTGGGAACATGTTAGCAGTAATAGTTTTAAGTGAGCTATAGCTCACGAAAGCTTATGCTCAAATAAATTTGTTAGTCTCTAAGGTGCCACAAGTACTCCTTTTTCTTTTTGTGGATACAGACTAATACAGCTGCTACTCTGAAACCTTTCTTAAATAATGAATCACAGTTGATATTCATGCATTTGTGTGCTTCATAACATTCCAATTTTCTTTATTTTTAAAAACTGCTAGGTGAATGTTAGTGTTCATAAAAATTGCCAGATTGACAGCATGGAGACTAAATTAATCTGTTTATCCACAGAATAGTTTCCACACAGGTTGTAATAAAGTAAACTTCCCCATTCTGCCCTGCTAATGTTCCTCATCTCTGACCTGGGGGAATACTTGTAGAAGTGAGAATAGATAATTCTCTAGCTGTGCTGATTGTTTTTCTGCCAGGATTGTCAACAGAGGTCCAAATTAAGTGTTGAGCATTTCCTTTTTTAATCATTTAAGATAACATTCAGAATTTCCCAGTAATACACAGTATATATTTCTATAATTATAAATGTTTACAAAAACACTGCTAGCAAACAGTGATATTGTCAGCCCTGGAAACATAATTCCTCTGCTTACAGAGAAAAGGTTCAACACCCATATTTTTACCAAAAAGTGGTTGACCTAACCCACTCTGGAGGGAACACTTCTGCTGGTGAGAAGGTAGTTGCGTCTCTATAGCTAGTCTATTCTTGATCAATGAACTTAATGCTGGTTTATGGCTACAATTGACTTCAGTGGGATTTCTGTGCATACATGCAAAGACAGAATTTGTCCCAGTCACTAGTGACGTGTGCCCAATTTTGACCTTGAAGTGAGAGGTAAATATTCTTCCACTTTATATCTGCTTACCTCATGCTACAGTTTTAAATAGGCTTATAAAATTTTTCCCCCACTAAAACTTTCATATTGCTGTGAGGTTGTGGGGTGCAGGGGGATGGGGTGGGGTGGGGGGGGGAAGCTAATAAATGCACAGCTGTAAACTGTGGCAGATTATCTGTATACAGTTCAAGTTCTGTACTGTTACAACATTCATATAGTAAACTTTATCATAAAAGCATATTTAGAACACAGTAAATCAAAATGGTTTCCTTAACTTTATATTTGGATAAGTGAGTCTCATTAATATTAGCATACAGTACTCTCAGAATTACAGTCCACAGCCTATTTTGTGTAACACAGCTTCAGATTTTCTCCTAAGGACTGGTTTTGTTTGTATTTCAATGAAACTGAAGTTTTCTAAATGTCTAAGTCTCTGAAAATGGGATCCAAGGCCACCCTTTTGGGTTACATTTAAGAATTTGTAGTGAGACACTGGTAGGACTACTCATCTTTAAGGTTCTCATTGATACCCGTATGAAATGTTTTAAAAATATTATGGTATGTGTTGCATTTAAAAAGATTTTTAACTGGAGGAATTCTGTCGATGGATTCATCAAATGGAACGTTGCTGAATGCATCAGACTGGTGGGAAGCTCTATATCGTATGGAATAGCCTTCTACTGGGATGATTATTCTTTTTAATATTATGTGTGTGTTCTGTCTTCTTCTTTAGAAGAAATCAATTTAGGGCCCAGTCCCACAGTTCTTGCTCCAACACAACTCATAGAAAACAAAGGATATTTTCAGTTTCATGTTAGCAAGTCCCAGAACCTAGGACTCAAACAAAAAAAATTTAGTTAAAAAAGACTCAAGATGGAAAATGTAGTCCACCTAATAGCAACGGAATCCAGCTAGCACTTAAAGTATATGTTGACACATTTTTTGCACCTTTCATAAACACACATGTGAATGGCTAGTTCACCCTAGCTGTGTAATCCTGTATCCTCCACAAGACTTTCCCATTACTACATTCATCATTATTTAAGGTTACGAAAAAGGTTTGGATGTCATAGCATTTGTTATTTTTTCAGTTGTTTCACTCGTGTACTTGTGACTTGCTAATGTTTCTTCTTATGAACTGGTTACACAGTTCTCTCATTAACCCTCATACCAGGTCAGAGCATAAGGTCAGCAGTATCTTCACAGATGTCCTACAGTTTTTTCCAAAATAAACTACCAGTGACAGTCAAATTAGATAATACAAGTTATGTCTTTATAACCTAAATTACAAAAGAGAAAACATATAGAAAATACTATATGATAAACATCAGCTGCCTTACATGAGATCTGTGGAGGGAAACTGCAAGCTATTGATAGGGAATGGCTAATCTTAAGGAAAACTTACCTTATCAGATTTTATAGTAGAAACATCTTTCCCTTTCTATAGCACCAGCATGGCACAGATGACACATTCCTTTGCCTAGATATAGGCCAATTTATGTAATCTCTGATCAAAACTAATTACAAGAGGTGTGAGTTCTTTAGTTGTTGTGTCCGAGTACATATTACCTTTTGATTAACAGGCATCCTCCCATCTGAAGTTATAGAAATACGTACAAAATTTACAATTTCCTTTTTCCTGTTCTCGAAAGTTTTGTTTTAAAATGCATTCTTTCTGTTTGTGTCTTTGTTTGATCAAGGACAGCGATACCTTGGAAAGAGTTCTAGTGTGCAGATGAACCACTTCGGTCTTTCATTCTGGGGAGTTCATAGGCATAATGAAAGGCATAGTTACTAGTTAAAACTTAAGAAACGACGAACACTTCAAATGTCCATTATTTAAACATAATACCTGAATTATAAGGGCATTGCTACATTGATTCTCAATCCTGTTTTAGGGAATTGTAGTTATAACTTCTTTATAATTTAAATCTGTAGATAACTGCATTGATAGGAGGAAAAGCCTTATAAGATCAAATAGCTTTTTTTTTTTAATTAAAAGAAGAAAATGGCTTCAGTTACCAAGTTGCTGCTTGAAGGGTTGCAGCCATATAATCTGTTTGTTTACACTAATAAAATGAGTTTAATTATGCTTCTTAAATTCATTTTGTCTTTTGTAGAGCTATGTGCAAAAAAACAAGAAAATTCTAAAAGCTGCCAAAGACTTGCCTCCAGATGCGCTTATTATTGAATATAGAGGAAAGTTCATGCTGAGAGAACAATTTGAAGCTAATGGGTATTTCTTTAAAAGGTATATTTATTTTAAGAACTCTTTTTTTTAATAAGTTAACTTTCTTAAATGTGCTATTTTACCGACAACCTTTTTCCTTTTCTGCAATTATCTTATTGCTCTTTTTGTGCCAACTACTGCATATGTTACTTCTAATACACCAAGAAAATTATATAGCTGCTTTTGAACTTGTATAACAGCTTTCACTTTGGGTGTCAATTAAATATTTATAACACACCTAGTAAGTGTAAGTAAATATTATTCCCATTTTACAAATTGAGACTCAGAGACTAAATGACTTGCTCAAGATTATACAAAGAGCCAGGTATAAACACTTGACTTTCTGACTTTCAGTCTTGAGATTTAGCCATGAGACTACCAATCTTTTCCTACTCTTCTTATTATTTACAAAACTCGGCCTCCATAACTGAGAAAAGTTTTGTGTTAGACATGTTTTTTGTTTTATAAATCTCAGTAGATTTGGATTGAGAGTTCTTCATTGCTGACTTGCAAGAATTGCAATATAAAATCAGCACTAAATTACGCAGCATAGTGATACAAAACCAGTAAATGTGAAAAAGAACTCTTAATGCTTTTAAAGGGGAAAAACATCCTATCTACCATATTAAAAAAATTTAAACTAGGGTTTTCCTTCTTTTTCTTTCTAGGCCATACCCTTTTGTTTTGTTCTATTCCAAATTCCATGGACTAGAAATGTGTGTTGATGCAAGAACCTTTGGAAATGAAGCTCGATTCATTAGACGGTCTTGTACACCCAATGCGGAGGTAAGCATATAAATATAGGAAATAATTCCTTAGTTAATCTAGATATTTGTTTATTTTGCTTGGCTTGCAGGATATGATGTTCTCTCACCTGTTCCCCTAAATCTTGGACTGAGGGGATTTAATATGGAGGTGATATATAGCATAATGGTGGATTAATCTTTCAATATTGTTTCTGGTAAACAAGTTATATATGCTGTTTTTTAGTATTCTTTCTTTGTAAAGTGCCTAAACACTCAGGCTCAGTACTGTGTGAAGCCCTGAGCACCTTCACCTCTCATTGTTTCTAATTGGGGAAAAGGATTGGACACACTTTTGGAAATGAAAATAAAACAAACATGTATTTTCACATTTAGCATGTTCTCTAGCATGTTACATGCTAATGAAATATTTTCACCAGGGCATTGACTCTATGCAAAGAATAAGGGGAAATATATATAAAGAATGAATAGTAGATCATGTCTTGATATCATTAAGGCATTTCGTAAGAATACTTTTTTTTTTTTTTTTTTTTTTTTGAACCTGTGCAGGGCAGCATCAAGAAATATATACATTTTGCTTATTATGAAAAACAATCATTTTTTTTAATACTGGTTTTATCAGTCTCTCCCAATTGATGGCATTGGTGGAGGGAACAACCTGTTAAAAGTGGTCAAGTATATCTGGGTTTTTAAGAATGAGTGTGGGTTTTAATGCGTTATAAACTAATGAATAGCTTTTCTCCTGGATTTAGGTGAGACATGTAATTGAAGATGGAACAATTCATCTTTATATTTACTCTATCCAAAACATTCCAAAGGGAACAGAAATTACTATCGCATTTGATTTTGATTATGGAAATTGGTAAGTATCTTTTAAATTGTTTGAAACATCCTGTATTTTAGGACAATATACTTCTAAAACGTTAGTAATATATTAATTGAGGCTATCATGTTATCACAAATATTCCTATTTTCTTTTACTCTTTTCATACACTTCAATAGTACGGTGCCCTTAAAGTCCTCAATGATAAGTGTATGCCATTGCAGGATTTTCCTTTAAGGGATGTTTTATTATTGTTGGGATTAGTGATAGATCTTTTCACTGTAAATTTAAGTGATTTTTATATCTCTGCAATACTACATACTTGGATTTACAGTGAAAATTCTTCAAACATAACATTCATTTTATGGATTGTTGGATACTATTTGATATTTAGTGTAAGCTAATGTAGAGCTATTCAGTAATGTGCTATTTTTTTTTTAAATCCACTCTTCTTACAGCTTTACGTACCATAGTTAATTGCTGACATAATTTAGAAGGAATAGAATCATACCTAAGGTAAATCTCTGTAGAAATGAGAATAAATTATGTTCATGCTATAACCCATCATTAAAGAAGGATGTTCAAGTCTATTGAGCCCTTCCTTAAAATAAGGTCTTAAATTCTATAACCTATCGATCCCATGTTCTCCTGGGTACAACTTATTTCTCCTTTTGTGAATTGTGAAATACTCTGGTAGATAGATGCCATTGTTTTGAAATGGTAAAGTAATTAGGGTAAGTGCTGCTCCCAGATATGCATGAAAAATTTCCATTGACTAAAGAGCACAAAATTTTGCCTTTAGGCGATGTAGCTAATGCCTTCCTCAGTCATTAAGAGTAACGAAAACACTTCTTCCTAAAGTGAGGTTCCTGTGAAAATTGACCGTTCTTACTGTTTTTTAAAAAAAAGCAATAGTTGGATTCAGTGCTTCCAGTGACCTAGTGAGTTCATATGAAATGTACTCAATTTACCAGAAAACTTGTTCGGTATATTCTTCCTGCGACCTCTGCAGACTCTACATCTTCTCTGAAAGACATGAGGAGTAATTTCCTTTTGTCATATCATTACTATAAATAAATATTCTTCAGACAAAACTAAGCTCTGTTAAATAGATTTCCCTGTTAGACATTAATATAGTTTCACAGGTGTAATTTAAGGCTTAATTTGGAGGAAGGAATGTATTACAGATTTAGTTGACAGCAGAATTTGACCCATAACATCTTATTACTTGGTGATTGCGTAAACCAGAAAGAAAACAGCTTGCTTTCCCTATCCTGAGTTGAGTATAGACGGCTTGTAATTATGGGGGGAATATATATATATATATATATATATATTTTTTTTTTTTTACTGGGAAGTAAATATAAGCTGAAAATCCATGAAAGCTGATTAACGAACCACTCAGTACCATTCAAGATTCAGGGCAAACTCTCTGCTGGAGCAAATGGGCAAAACTCTATTGACAAGAGATTGAATTGTACTCTGAGAGAGCTTTTTTGCACCAATCTGGATATTCTGCTTATTTATAAATGCTACTAGAGAAAGTTTTATATTACTGAAACTTGTATAACTTGCAAGAACTCTTGTATACATCAAGTAAAAGTAACTCAATTGACTTATAAATATCTGTTGGGTTGTGTTTCCCAATGTCCAATCCAGACAGACATAAGATAAATCAATTTTGTACAAAACTAAATTGCTCTAATTTTTTCTGTTCATTTTTGCACCAGAGTGTGTTTCTTTTTTTGCTTTTTATTTTATTTAGCTTTGTTTAGTATAATAGATTTTTATTTGTTTTAATGGAATTCCAAACTGTAAACTGGGAAACGGATTTAAGAACCTGTGGATGAGAGTAATAAAAGGTAACATTGCACAGCTTAGTGAAAGTTTAAATTAACCCTTTTCAAATATGCTAAAATACTGACTCTTTATCTTGGCAGATGTTAATTTACAGTGAAATGAACAAGAGTGGTTTAACTTTCAAAAATCATATTGCTGTAGCATTCAGTTCAATATTTTTACACCAAATTTTTTTGTATTGGCTATTTTAGTAAATACAAAGTGGATTGCGCTTGCCTCAAAGAAAATCCTGAATGTCCAGTTCTTAAACATGGTTCCGAACCTACAGAAAACATAAATACTGGATATGAGACTAGAAGGAAAAAGGGAAAGAAAGAGAAGGACATTTCAAGAGAAAAGGAAACACAGAATCAGAACATCACACTGGATTGTGAAGGAGCAGCCACCAAGATGAAGATTCCTGATAATAAGCAGAGGAGACTTTCTCCCCTCAGGCTATCCATTTCCAATAACCAGGTATTAAAGCAAAAATCACTAGATGGTCAGATTTACAAACCAGAAGATTCCCTGCTTTAGAGTAATTCTTAAAAATCTTACAAGTTATTGGAAAGAGTTGTTCTTTGTGAATTTTAGTGTTGGATTAGCTACTTAAAGTATGTATGCTATTTCTAGTTCTCTTGAAATGACTAGTTGTTTTTTAAAGATACTTTGGTTCTCTTTAACCAGCTGCTTCTCTCACTGAAATGTCTCAACATAAACCAGAAATTCTGCCTCCTAAAATTCTTTGCAGATCTGTGGTGTAAAAGCTGCACGCCATGCCTCGACCCCAAAACCATCCTGAAGCAGTGTTAGTCACACGTATGTTGTCCCCACAATTCTGATGTTTTTAGCCACACTTACAAATTGGCTTGCTTCCATAACAATTTCTACTACCAAGATTTCAGCCCAAAAAAGATCTTCTGGTCTCTCACTAATAGCCTCCATGTACCTGTTGTATGTTTTTGTGTAGATTGAACACTGGCATAAAGATGGTAAACAGGTATTTATTGAGTATGGATGGGAATGGGGGTTCTAGTGAGGTACCAGAGGTCTTGGTTATAGGTTTGGTTGTCTTAGTTTATTGGCATAGAAGAGCAGGTAAATGAGAAAGTAATGAATTTCACAGATCCTAATTTGGAAGGAGCCGCACACAGCAATTAGTAAAGAGAAATTATACAAAGAAATCAGAGAGATACCATAATGATGGATTGATTTTTGTTGTTTTTTGAGGGACAAGAAAATTGATTGTGAGTCTGGGGGTAAATACTTGATGGAATTATGAGGGTAATTTGAAGGATGAAAGAGAGTTGTATAAGGTGTGGGGTTACTTGGTGGGAGCCATTTTCAAAATTCTCTCCATTGGCCTAGAGAGTAATAAAGGGAACCATCATGGAGGAAGGGATGAGCGAAGGAGATCAGGGAATTGGTGATGAATATGCAATTGATTTTGTAAAAATTTTTCATAAAGTTTACATTAGCCTTTTTCATGGGGTACAGTAGACTGACCTACCCAAACAGCTAACTTGCTTTAGAATGCTTCTGGGGTCATAAGGGGTGGCATGTGATTTCTACAGGAGTAGAGCTACAAAGGCAGTATATTCAAACTGCAGTTTTACAGGTAAGTTACTTTCCTTTTTCCAGCCAGGTTGCCACTAGCAATAACTGGTATTTGGAACCTGCTCCTGGGCACATAGAAGCCTATGTAATTTTTATAGCAATTGTCACAGGCGCGCTAAAAGTTTGTCAACCTAGAAGAGGCTCAATAAAATATAAGCACATCTGATATTTAAAAAAGCAGTTCAGTCAGCCAAAATAACACCTTATGTATGTACTTTGTTTAGTTGTTTTAGTGCTGTGCTCAAGAATTGTACTGTTAATTTCCACTTTATAGCAGTTTTATTAAGGAACAAATGTAATAATTTCAACTTTATTTTTAAGGCAACCACATATAAGAACAAAAGGTAGAATGTTGGTAACAGATCAATTATTATTGACTCTGCTTTAACTTTTTAATTTTTTGAATGTTATCCTTCTATTGTAAGAGACCTGAAAAACCCAGAAGCATTCCCACACCAAGCATTTTTCAGTATTTATTAATCGGATCTCTTTTTTGTGTTCCCTATGGTAAGTCGCTAATGTTAGATTATAGTGGAGATATATATAGCATCAGTGGAAAGGGTTATGTTAATAGTTACATAGGTTTGAGTTGACTGCAAATTTATATAAATATGATAACCTATCTTGTTTGACATGACAGTATACATTCCATTTTACTGAAAAAATGAGGTTTAAGATTTTCAAAAATGGGTGCCTAAAGTTAGGGTCAAAATTTCCTATTTAGCTGCATAAATAAGTGGCCTGATGTTCATAAGTGTTGAGTGCCCTGTAGCGCCCATTGGTTTGGAAGCTTAATTCTTATTATTTGGTTGAAAAAACTTGAGTGAGATTACAATTAAAGAAAATGATGTGGATGTTTCTGTTTGGATCGGAGAAGGTACTTGAGTCAGGCTATATTTCTAGAATCATAAAAGTCTAAGTGGATGATATGTAGCTTTTACATGTTGCATTGGTTAATTGGCTGGTAGCTTTTGAAGTAGTGATTTGAGGACACTTTGCTCTGTGTAGCCTTTAGATTTCCCTAGTTTGAAAGAGTAGTAGTGGAGCTTCTGTAAAGCAGTCATTTCCATCTTTCAGGAGCCAGATTTTATTGATGATATAGAAGAAAAAACTCCTATTAGCAATGAAGTAGAAATGGAATCAGAGGAGCAGATTGCAGAAAGGAAAAGGAAGATGGTAAGTTGGGAAGCAAGTAGCTGCTTAAAGCTGTCACTAGGACTTAGTGATGGCTGCTCTTCCCATGCTAATTTGCTGCCTTTTTATAGGCTTTTTTAGAATCTGAGAATATATGAAGCCAGCACCTCATATACACTTTAACTTCAAATCCAAGGCTTGCTTGTTGAGTGAGAGCATTTCCATTTGGCTTGATCATCACCTCCTGACAAACATGCAAATCTGCTTTTGTTTTTAAATGTGTATAATTTTCTATTGCTTCTGCATAGGTGCCATTACTTGTAGAAAATGCCTAGCTATGGCTTTAAGACTTCCTTTTTATTATTGTGCACCACAGTGGTTGGTTATTTGTAAGATACAATCAGGGGCCAAGATTTTCATAACTGACTAGTGATTTTGGGTGCCAAACTTCAGACACCTTTAAAGAAGCCTAATTTTCAGAGGCTGGTTGCTCAACAATTTCTGAAAAGTAGGTCTTTTTTAGACATTCAGTCTGTTGGACACTCAACATTTTAGATGCCTAAAGTCACTAGTCGCTTTTGAAAATCTCAGCCAGGAAATACTTAATTTATTTAAATAGTAGTATGAAAAGTTCCCTATTTATCCTTGCTCTACATAAATCTTATTTTAAAGGCAAAAGTAACCTTCAAAACTTCGGCTGCTGTCTTTTACAGACAAGCTTGAGTGAACATTATCTAAGTTTTTGCCTCCACAAAAGCAATGATGTGTATCTAAAATGAATTTGCTAGATAGAGAATTAACCATTTGATTTTTGTATTCAAAATATGTTGTGCATATGCACAATTCTTGTGCCTGCAAAAATTTGGTGAAGGGAGAGAAATGTTCACTCAAACATATGGTTAGTTGTATACCAGAGTTGTTCATGAATACAGATGGTATGCATAAAGGCTTATTTATTTTTTTGGCACAATCTTAGTCATAAGACAGTATGCTACTAAAAATATGTATCTACCGTTTAAGTGGTTGGGAACTTTATGGAAATTTGACCCTTTAAGAAATGGAGTTACACTGGTTGAATTTGAATACTATTTCAAATGCTAAGGACACAGATTTGTTTACAGAAAGCAAAAAGAAAAATAAAGTTGGGATTGATACTAAAACTAGTACTCTGTGTGTGTGTGTGTGTGTGTGTGTGTGTGTGTGTAAACTAATACATAGATTTATAGTTTATTGTGCAATTTAGGTACACAATCACATGTTTAATCTTTGTTTCATGTTTTTAACGTTTGTGTTATAAAACGACTCTACCTTGAGAGGATGTAGGAACTGGTAGGCACACTGAAGAGTTAATAGGGGCAGGAATTGGCAGGTTTGTCACTCAGGATATTTGTATGAATTTGCAATCATAACTTCACACCACTGGGACTACATAACCCTAAAGGCAGGATTCCATACTTCACATCTCCCCTGAGCCAAAGTTGAATAGCCGATGGTGGCATAGTGTTAGGAGTGTTGCAGTTTTCCATAAAGGGGCATATTTTTGGAGTTTAATGTACCCACCCTGAACACCGTACACAAACCATATCATTTGAAAGCTTATTTTATGTGCATTTAGGTGAGGTATGATGTGCATCTGTCAAGTGGTGCTATAAACCTGTAGGAGAGGTGAAACAGTGGTACTACAAATGAGAAAGTGTCATCCTTCTTCGATTGATTGCAAGGAGATGTACACGCCGCGTGCACGATCGTCGGAAGGTTTTTCCCTGGCAGTACCCATTGGGTCGGCTGTGGAGCCCCTTGGAGTGGCGCTTTCATGGCCGTGTATATAGATCCCTTCTGACCGCCAGTGATGGTCATTGCAGCAGCTCCTCTCTTGCGTTAGCAAACAATTCCCTAGTGCACTCTCCTTTTCTCCCTGTAAATAGTTTATAACTTTATCACTAACTAAAGCTTTCAGTGAGCTAAGTTTTAGTTGGGGGTTCTTCTCTCCCCGCCCCTGCCCCCCCTTTGTTCCCATCCTGGGGAACAACACATGCCTCTGTCTCAGGGCTTCAAGCTGTGTGGGTCCTGCCTGAAGCCTATGCTGAAGGGAGACCCACACGATTTATGTCTTAACATGTTTCGGAGAGGGACATCAGTCCGGTAGGTGTAAAATCTGCAGGGGTATTAAGCCCAGAACTCAGAAGGAGTGGGACTTGCGCTTAAAACTCCTTTTAATGGAGTCAGCTCTTCAACCCCAACTGCCCCATGCCGTGTCTGACGTAGCACCAGGCGCTTCTGTGCACAGTGAGCTGGCCTCGGTACAGGAAGCCTCAGCACCGAGGAAAGACTCATCCAAACAGCCACAGCACCGCCATTCCCCGGCACTAAGGACCAGCTCTAGTGTGAGGCACCACTTGCAGTCGCTGCTGCCACACAAGAAGAAGAAAGTTGACAGGGGATGCTCCCTCCTAGGACAGCAGAGCAGGCTGACACCAGTGGGGTGTGTCCTGCGTTGGAACACCCAGCCTCGAGTCTGCCTAGACTGGTGCCATAGACTTTGGCTTCTTGGGGTGGTCTGTTGAGTAAGGCCACAGTGAACCCCCTGGTGTGGGAAGATTTGGAGGAGGACTTGGATGCTCCCTCCATGCCGGACACATTTGAGGTGGCCAAGGAGTTGATTGCCATGATGGTGCAGTTATCACTACACATCAGCGTCAGGAAGCTTGCCAGACATTTCATGCCCCATCTTCAGGGCAAATGTGTATCGGTGTTGACAGACAACACCACAGCGATGTTCTATATAAACAAACAGGGTGGTTCTCACTCCTCTCCCCATGTGCCAGGAAACCTCAGGTTGTGGGACTTCTGCATCGCCCACTCGATACAGTTGGAGGTGTCTTATTTGTCAGGTGCACAAAATGAACAGGCCGATCACCTCAGTAGATCTTTCCATGGCAATGGATGGTCTCTCTGACCGGACGTTGTCAGCAGTATCTTCCTGAGGTGGGCATCTCCAGACCAGTTTGCGACACAAGGCAACAGGAAGTGCCAGCAGTTCTGCTCCTTCCTGAATCACAGCTCCGGTCAATCATGGATGCCTTTCTCCTCTTGTGGACGGGACCCCTGCTGTATGCATTCCTGCTGTTCCCTCTCATCCATAAGGTCCTCCTCAAGCTCCAGCGGGACAAGGCTTCGCTGATTTTTCATAGCGCCGGCATGGTCCCGCCAACGCTGGTTCTCCATGCTGTTGAACCTCTTGGTGGACACACCGATGACCTTGCCCATGATTCCAAACCTCATCACGCAGGACCATGGCTGCCTTCAGCACCCCAACCTGGAGTCTTCACCTCACTGCATGGAAAATCCATGGCTAAATCCGTTAGAGCTGCAGTGCTCTGATTTGGTTAGGGAAGTTCTCCTTGGCAGTAGAAAGCCCTGCACTCGTGCCACTTATCTAGCCAAGTGGAAAAGGTTCTCTATTTGGTTCACACAGAAGGGCACCCCTCTGCTGCAATCCTCAGTCCCCTTTATAGTGGACTATTTACTTAAAGCGGCAAGGGCCGGCAGTCTCGTCAGTCAAGGTGCATGTGGCAGCTATTAGCTATTTCCGCTTTCCACCTGTTCCCAGTGGAACGGTCAGTATTTGTTAATCCCATGGTTGGATGCTTCCTTAAAGGGCTAGACAGATTGTATCCCCAGGTGCGGCAACCTGTCCTTCCATGAGACATTAACCTGGTCCTCTCAAGGCTCATGGGGACCCCTTTTGAACATCTAGCAACTTGTTAGCTGCTTTACCTCTCTTAGAAAGTGGCGTTTCTCATGGCTATAACGTCAGCCAGAAGAGTGTCTGAGCTCAAAGCTTTAACAGCTGAGCCCCTTTATACAGTGTTTTATAAGGGCAAGGTACAATTGCAGCCGCTCTCAGCTTTTCTCCCTAAGGTTGTTTCACAATTTCATGCAAATCAAGACATCTCTTTACCAGTGTTCTTCCCGAAGCCACATGCTCATGACAGGGAACACAGGCTCCATTCCTTAAATGTTGGACAGGCACTGGCTTTTTACATTGAGCCGACAAAGCCATTTAGAAAGTCGATGGAACTCTTCATCGCCATTGCTGAGAGAATGAAAGGACTGACAAACTCATCCCGACAAATCTCATCTTGGATCACGGCCTGTATCAGGAAGTGGTATGACCTGGCAAAGATACCAGCCTCTGCATTGATGGCGCACTCCATGAGAGTGAAAGCTTCGTCTGCAGCGTTCCTGGTGCAGGTCCCCATTCAGGATCTCTGCAGGGCAGCGACATGGTCATCTATTCATACCTTTACGTCATACTATGCCATCACACAGCAGGCTAGAGATGATGCCGCGTTTGGTAGAGCAGTACTTTAATCTGCAACTCGGTGAATTCCAACCCGTCCTCCAGGGGACTGCTTGGGAGTCACCTACTTGGAATTGACAACGAGCAATCGCTCGAAGAAGAAAAACCAGTTATCTGCCTTTTGTAACTGTTGTTCTTCGAGATGTGTTGCTCATGTCTATTCCAAGACCCACCCGCCTCCCCTCTGTCAGAGTATCCAGCAAGAAGGAACTGAAGAGGCAGCAAGTTGGCAGGGACTTGTATATACAGCCATGAAGGTACCACTCCAGGGGGCTCCATAGCCCCGAAGGGTACTGCTAGGGAAAAACCTTCCGAAGGTGTGTGCGCTGTGTGCACAATTGACTTGGAATGTACATGAGCAGCACATCTCGAACAACAGTTTCGAAAGGCAAATAACTGTTTTTTTGTTGCACGGTTCCAGAAATGCTCTAACACGACTCTGACTACAGTTTTTACTGTTCAAGTTAATTTAAGCACCTTAATATGGTGTGTGTTGGTGTTTAATACATTTAAACAACAATGTATTAAAATTAGAGCTGTCAACTGATTCAAAAAATTAACCGTGTGATTAATTGTGCTGCTAAACTATAATAGAATACCATTTAATTTAAATATTTTTGAATGTTTTCTACATTTTCAAATATATTGATTTCAGTTACATCACAGAATACCAAGTGTA